CCATAGTCATATTTTTGTTTATTTTTACTTGTTATTGCATTTACATTATTTGTGGTTGGTTAGTTGTGATCGGATCCTCGTGTACTTGTTGATGGACATGTTATTTGTGCATTGTTAGTAATCACGTGTTCACACTTGGATTCAAGATTAATTACAAGAGAGTTTTAGAGACGGATAAAAAAGCCTGAAGTCCGAACCTTGTGAGGCCCAAAGCCTGGTGCAGGACTGGCCTCAAAGCCCGATCAAGTTAAAATTTTTGGGAGCAAGCCCGGTCTTACCTTCACCAACCCCAAACCGGAGCCTTTTTTTCTCACTGAAAACAGGTTTGGAAGGATGGGCACATACTAAAAAAACACCTTGGTTTTGTGCATATCTACTAGGGAGCTATGGAATCATAGTTTGGTTAATCAGTTGTAGTTAGGGTATGTTTGGTATACTGGATAGAACAAAACGGAGATCCATGTTTCACGTTTGGTAGGACTTTTATGTGGAACATATAGGAACAGAGTGGAACAAAGTGGAACAAGCTTGTTCCACCCCTATTCCATAGAACAAGGTGTAACAAGATGGAACGCACTTATATTTTATCGATATAGCCTCAAAATAACATTTAATTCTTTTCTAAGACATCAAATAGGTCTTTTTTTACATTTTAATCGTTCTTTAAATTTTATTTATTGTATTTTATGTTTTTTAATTGTCTTCAAAATATTATTTTTAGTCGGCCAATATATTTTTATTATTTTACATAATTTATCATATATTAATAATAAAATAATGTAAAAAAGGGATAAAACAAAAATTGGAAACTATCTAAATTTTTTATTTTGTTGTCATTTTAATTGTTTTGATGAAAACTTTCCAATGATATATATTTTGTTATAAAAAACAATTATTTTATTATTATTTAATAAATCACAAAAAATAATCAAAGTATATAAACAATTCATTAGGGATAAATTAGTTATTTTACTTCTTCTCTTTTATCCAATTTTGTCTAACCAAACACTAAAACAATTATTTTGTGCTCTTATGAACACTAACACACCCTGGTTAGGTAAAGGATAACCACTCAACCAGTATAACCCCGAGTGTTTGCATATAATTGAATGAAAAAGTATTGTACTTGAAATAAAGTAGTAATTATGAAGGGGTAGGTTAAATAACACCCTTCCTGAAAGTGCTGGTGCCGACTGACACATTGATTTGATGGTGGGGTATCCATATGCATATATAGGCCCCATCAAGGTGTTTGTACATACTGACATTGAAACGACCAAACGAAGAGTTGTCCTTCCCTCCATTACATCATCATCATCATCGTCCTTCCCACCATTTGACGATGAGAATCCTATATGGTAAAATGCATTTTAGTACCTCTGTACTCTTAAGTTTTACCTTTCCAGAGTGTGCATATTGATAATATGCTATTCTTATGGTTTTAAGCTATTCTTATGGTTTTATTCGGCTTGCATTCTAAATGCGAGTATGGGGGTTCTTTGGTCATGAAATGACGTTGGGCAGTTGTAGAGAAGATGAGAAATGGCACATCTGACAAATTCTATTTTTAAATGGAAATACACGTGTTATTGAGTTACAGGATGATGCGTGATAAAAAAAGAATTAGGTTGGGATAAAAGGATATTTGATTCCGATATAGATACATATATGTACCCATTAAAGTATTCATGTCATTTTGTCGAACTTATGAGGCGATGCGAACTATTAGATTCTCATTGTCATAGGCATTTTAGGCACTGGAGACCTCAAATCCAGAAAAATACAATTATGTAACGAACATAATAGATTTTTTAAGCTTACCCGATTACATGTAATTTTCCTTAAAGGTAGGTGTCGTATGAGATTCTAAAGGCATGGGGCAGAGGCTATTGTCAATAGTACTGATTTTACTTTTGAGAAGGAAAAACTTACATGCTTAATATATATATATATATATATATATATATATATATATATATATATAGGGGCTTAATCAAATGAAAACTGAGTTGTTTGTTGTAACTGTGAGGTCCAATATGAGCCAATTATTTAAATAATTAATGTTATATCCTAAAATAACATAAAGGGTAAATTGGTAATGTTATAATTATAAAACCCTAGATGCTTTAGGTACTCTTCTCCTTTGTCTACTTCTTCTCCGGCCACCCCCATCACCCCTATCTACTTCTTCATCGACGGTTTCCCCTTCCACAACCATCTCATCTTCTCCTTTATTAGAAAACCTTCTCTCTCTTCTTTGATTTGGCCCCATGAAATCAACCACCCTTTCTGGTTTTGCTTTGACTGTTTCTTTGATGGCTTCAAAGCATTGACTGGGACTTGCTGGAGTGGTTCACGAGGTAGACGACGGAGACGAGACACGACAGAGGTGGTGCGAAGGGGAAGGTTCGGGTGTGCTTTGCCTATTTCCTCGTCCCTGTGTTTGTGTTAGTTCATACGGTGGTGCAGGGGTGCGTGCGTGTGTTGCAGAAGGTGAAAGGGAGATAAGGAGATGGTGGCTGCAACAATGAAGGGGTGGTCGGAGAAGATGGATTGGGAAAGGAGGAGACGGGTGAAAATTCTGTGGTACATGGTGTTGGCCGGAGAAGATGGATTGGGAAAGGAGGCGACCAAAGGTTTTTCATGAGATCCGTAAGATCAATTCTCAACTCTTGGATTAGATCTACAATCGTCAGATCTGAACATTCATAAACGCCACGAGATTTCTCAATAATTACAAAATTGTCACTGTGCAACTTTAGATCATTAGATTATTAACTTATAAAGTTGATCAATGAACATAAATTGATCTTACTGGTCTCACGAAAAACCTTTAGTCTTACGTGAACCCAACCCTATATATATATATATATATATATATATATATATATATATATGGAAAGGTTCAAACGAGAACCCCTGTGATTTACGAGAACGTAAGAACAACCCAATAACCTCATATTGTGATTAAAAATAAAATTAAAAGATTTTTAAAATTTAAATTTAAATTTAAAAAGATTCAAAAAAATTTAAAATTAAAAGGGTAATAATGGAAATGATATCATCAAAT